TTGAGAGAATCAGATTTGAGAGTGGTTGGGCGCATGGCATGACCAGGCCTGGAGGTATAGCATGCATGGTATACACTTGATCAGCTTACTCCTTTGTGGAGTAGCTCTAGCCCCCCTACTCTGGTGCTGGTGTTCGCCAGTCCGGAGAAACCTCGGGCGAGTCGCAGATCGACCCTTCCTCTTCGCGTGAAAGAAGGGCTCCGGTTACCTGGCAGGCGGTTGGTGCTTCGGCTTTGGCCGGGGTCCAATGAAAATCCCGCGGCGGAGTGATCTGTTCGGCTGGGTGCCTTTCTTCCCCCTTCTTCTGAGCCGAGCGGGCTCATGCACTATACACTTGAAATGCTTGAAGGAACCAACATGAACACAACGGGTCATCAAGAAGGAACAATCCCACCATATGAAAGGACAGACAAATGAAGACAAAGGGAATGGAGGGAGTTGCTAGACTCTAAGAAAACTAGCTCACCAACCATTATGTATGGAAGTAAGGGGAGTGACACTCATTGTCCTGAGAGAAAATCGTGAGACATAGGTAGGAAGCGCTAGGTGCACCAAGGGAAAGGCACTTGTACTATGTGTGTCTCACTTGGGACTTATGATCTGCAAGAGGAGGTTTGAGCGTTTTGCCTTCCGGAAGGAAGGGATGGGTCTGCACCAGCTGGTGCGGGATTGCGACACGTTGTTTCTATCGTAGTGTCGTCGGGTCTCATATGCGGAGGTCGGACCACCGAGCTGTCGGACAGGAGTTGGTCTCGCCGGTTGATTAGTAACACTCTCTCTCGGACAGACCGAGCATGGCTCGACACCTTGCCCAGGCGGGATGCGAAACGTCTCCTCAGGTGGGGCTCTAGCTTGTCGGCTGGCGGAGGGGGATCATTGCGTGCGAGGCAAGGAGGGAGCCTCGACGACGATTAGTAGCTTCCCATAGTACGGTTTGGGAAAGGCTGATTCTTGTCGGACCGATGGAAGTGAATGCCCGGACGACTGATTCTTGCTCCTAGCGGGGTGCGCGGGGTGATTCCCGATACCAATGGGGTGTGTAAGGGCAGTAAAACGGGATGGGGTATTTTGGGCGAATGGAGAGGGGTAACACCCTGTGTCGGAGCCTGGGTACTGCGCTCGCGACGATTGAGCTGCACTTGAGGTATGGGATAAAACTCTACCGAATGTACCAGTGGAGAGACCATATGGGGTAGGTCGGTGAGGAGATGACCGGCCCGTATGTGAGATTGCCTAGATCTTTTTTTTTGTGTACCCCCCCCTTTGTAAAGGTTGACTGAGGTCTGAACTGTTGGACGGGCTATGATTCTAGTGTATTCCCACCTCCCCATCTAAGTCTGCACAAGTGAGAGATGATGGAAAAAAGTGGAGGATAGAGGTCAGTCGGAGTGGAACCAAGAAAAAGAATGTTGGGTAGTGAATGGCCGGCCGAGGATACTACGGAGGGGTGGTACTTAGGAATGGGGAGGTAAAGGAGACCCGAATGAGGGGTCTGAAATAATCCTCATCTAGGACGTGGGTTGACTGACCGGAAGGGCCATTTGGTGCTCTCTTATGGAAACAGGAATCGGGTGCTGGGAAAACAAGATGGTGCGGTGGCTGTCATCCCCAATCTATTCCAGCGGCCCGGTGGTGCTGGTAGATGTAAAGGATGGAGTATCGGTCGTCCTCCTGGAAGAAGGAACGTGGAAAGATCTAGAACCAGCCTATCAAGCTGTAATGTTGAACGAGGAGGACGCGTTTCTCTGGATAGAAACGATATGGACTAAGGTCAGTCTGACGAGGTTGTCACCGAGCTTGATGGATTTGGAATTCAGAGGGACAGTAGAAGCCCGGGGGTGGGTCTACTTGTCGTAGGATGGGGAAGATGCCATGGTCGTGGATTTGGTGCTAGGGACCGCGCCGGACGAATTGTTTAGGAAGGCCGAAAGAGAGGTTGTATGGGCCGCCTGTCAGTAGGCAGAGATGAAATTGGAAAAGGTAGATGTGCGAGTGGAACTCGGGGATAGAGGGAGAGTGAGGCGGCCCGTTAGAACAATGAGATGCGTACTGCCTCCTTTTCTGGTGGATGCGGTCTTCGGAACCCGGAGCAGGCTAGTACAGATATGCCTGTCCATGACGAACCTCGGGCTATACCAATGTGCCAGGCAGGACTTCTTCCGGTTGTCGGTAGAAATGGGGCCTTTTGAAGGAAACTGGGCAAAGGAACTGGCCGAGATGCGGAATTGCCTTAGCATAGACAATGTCTTTGTCCCTAGCCCGGTGCATTGGGAGATAGTCTACAGAAATGTGGCAGTAGGGAAGACGTTCCTGGAAGGGGTGAGGGAATTGTTCTACGGCGAAGAGGATGACTTCAGTGACGACGACAAGAGGGATGAGATAAAGGACTGGGATTTCTGAGGTGGGGGGACTTATTTATGGAAGCCGAGTGGCCTGGCGCTATGCAGGAAAGAAAACGATGGCTAGAGAACAGTTGCTGATGGATTGCACTTTCAAAGGATGGGAACCAAGGCAACTAAGAGGGGGGGTAGAAATGCCTATACAAGCGGAAAGCGGATGGAGAGGAACCACGTGCGACTGGGTCGCGTTTGAAGTTGTCCTGGGATCGTACGTCTGGATAAAACGGATCTGGAACCTACTAAGGGAAGAGGAAGGTTGGGATGAGATAGCGGAAGGCAAAGTGGAATCAGTCGGAACGGTCGTTCGTTCCGAGAAAGGGTGGCACTTGTTTTGCACTATGATAGCAGCAGGACAGGATCCGATGTGGATTCTGGGGGATGCAGAGGCGCGAACCTGAAAGGAGGGCAAGAGGTTCGCCAACGAAGGATGGGATGAGGTCAGTAGTAGGTTTGTGATGGGAGGGTGGAAGGAGCTCAAGCCTCCCAGCCTGCGAACAACGGTTTGGGTGCCTGAGTTCGTGACCAAGTGGTTTGGGGGTTTCAACCACATTTTAAAAGTGGCTGACTCCATGGAAGGGACACATATAGAGTGTGCCTGGCTGACGGAGGAATTTTTATAGGACCTCGTTGAAGTACGGGCCCTTCTACGGTGATAAAGTGTGGGAAGTTCTCGCCATTCTGAGAATAGGTAAGCATGATCTCATAAAGGTAGACGCGGCAACCTGAGACGCCATAGTTAGCCGGGAGGTGGCGGCCGCTCCATCCTACGTGGATGATGTTTTCAAACTGTTTGAAGTAATGTGGTTCGAGTAAAAGGCCGGAAGGTCAGACGCTAGGGGGAAATCAAAGTGCGGGGGATACATGTAAACTAGGGGGTAACGTAGGATAGGGAGCGTGTACATTAGTTTTGCAGGGTGTGCGGGGTGGTTAAAAAGGGAAGAGGCTTCTGGCTACCAGGCGCGCAGTTGCGGATTGCGGATAGGGAAGCAAGACGAGAAGGCACTATGAGAGGGCCGAAGGACGGTCCTGGAAGACCGGCCACTGAGGATCAAACCGCTGAGAAAAGAAGAATGAGGGCATAAAAGGAAAAGAGCGGTAGATGAGCAGTTGCTGAAGAACAGGCTGTAATCCTCTCTGTTTAGGCTATGCATGAAATCACCGATTAACGATGGCGGCAAGACGCGTTCGGGCAGCACGCCAGCCCCAGTACCCCAGCCCACCCTGGAATAACGACAGAGGGTGGGAAGTCTCTCTTCCATCAAGTTTCGAATTCCGGGGAATCGACGTGGAGTGGCGGGTCGTGACCTTGGGGAGGGACATCGCCTTCATAATGGTGGAATGTTTGTGGACCGGGATGCGATTTAACCGAGGGCCTGGGGATAACCTGTACTCCAATATGGAAGTAACCGAGACTTTGTACCTACCCGAAATTGGTTGGCACTCGTTGGGAGTAGGAATAACACAAGGTCACGAGCTGGCCCCGATCTTTCAGAGGGCCGTCCGGGTATTAACACGGATAGGCCAATCGGTCAGGGGTAGGAGGAACGTGGGCTTACAAACAGGGTGGAAGTAGGGAGCTGGCGGGAGTTTAGCGCACCGGCAACCCGCTAAGATGTCGGGTCCCTCGATTCATGATAGACCTCATCTTCAGGAGCATCGCGAGGGCGCAGGATCTAGCAGACTCAGTAATGGTCTAGATCCATCACTTCCCACCTCAAGCCATCGAGATGTTCTATGACATCTCTGTGGAGCACGGGCCATTCTGGGGAAACCGGGCCTAGGAGCTGCTGGACGTCATCAATATTCTAATATTTGGGTTGCCACGGTTAGCCTGCGCGGAATACGAGCATATAATTCGGAGAGAGATCGAGGTAGGAAAGAGCTATCTAACAGGGGTGGCTCAACTGTTCGAGGAGCCTACCGAACCAGAAGGGCCACGGGGACGAGAGCGGGACTAGCACCGGGTAGCAAGCCGGTATGGCAAATAAAGTATACTCCATTACGTATAGGGGCTCACCGATGGGAATAGGGAAGGACTGCCGGACCCCGGAATAGGGAAGGGACGATAGAAACGCGAAGTCAGGGAAATGGCAGAGGGGTACGCCTGGCCAAGGCGGGTCGACCGGAACCGATGCAAACCTTGCCCGGCTACGCGCGGCGAAGTAGGGGTGCTTCGGGATGTCGGACGAAGGCCCAATCCTAAGAAGGACCCCCGCGACGTTCAGGAAGCAAGGGCAGCCGAACTCACATTCTGCGTAAACCAGGGAAGGGATAGATCCGCGATAATTGCCATAACCAGAAAAGTTGAAAGGAATATTGATCGGGGACCCTTCCTGATGGAGTGCCCAACCGGAACTCCTGCATACCCGGCATGACGAACTGGGACGCTCTAAACGAGCCTGTCATAAGGGGAACTAAGTTTTGTTCCTTAGCTCAATAGGGAAGCAGGGCTGGCCACAATTTTTTTTCCAGGAAAGCAATCAGAGGACATAAATGGGGGAGGGGCTACTCTCTGAATAAGATAAACCGAAAGGACTGGAGCCTATGGAACCTAAATGCCTCGAGTTGCCTGTGTCCCGTGGAATCCTCTGGTTTATGCAGATCTAAGCAAAATGGCAGCGGAAGATGAGACAGACAATTATAGGAGCGAGGGAGGACCAGGCTTAGGAGGCAGCGTCGTACAAAGCGAGGAGGGTCAGAAGGACAGAGAATCGATGAATCCGGATGGTACCAAGGGGAACAGGAAAGAGATCTCCTCAGTGGAAAGCTCGAGAAAAGCCGGGGGAAGCACGCAAGGGACCCAGGAGACCAGGGAGGGTAGGAATAAGGACAGGTCGAGCCCACAAAATTCAAATGGAGTTGTATCTAAGAAGGTGAGAATCACGGACGCAAGGTGCAAACGAGCAGAAGTAGAGAAGAGAACCGCAGAGTACAAGGCAAGATTGATCGAGGAGATGATGATTGGAAACGAGGAAGACCTCCCGCAGGAAGAACCACGGGACGAACGGAAGGTTAGCCGAGGCGGAATTGGGCAAGGGGGTAAGGGTAGTGATCGTGGAGGAACACCCAGCAAAAGAAGGAAGGAGAGAGAGAACACCCCCGGAATGGAAGCGGAAAAAGCTACAAACCCGCCAGCCATAGATAGTTGGGCTAGCCGCCTGCCGGCCGCACCAATAGTAATGCGAGGGTGCGAAGGGCTCTAGAGCCTTAGGGAAAGGGTGTTGGGGTGGTTTGACCTGGAGGGGACCGCGAAAACTAGAGAAGGACAGAGCGTCGATAAAAAGGGGCAGAAAACCAGTGCGGCAGGCGAGACCAGCAACTCCGAGGGTGGCCTCAGGAAGATGGTGTCGTCCCTCGCACGAGCGCTAAACAAAAACCAAGGCTAGCCCGCGGACGCTAAGAAAACGTTGACGTTTGATGGGGCAAACATCACGGAATTCCTAATAGATTACGAGAACCTGGCCACGTTGCTGAAATGGAGTGAAGAGGAGAAGATGGACCACCTAGGACAACATGTGTCATTGAGCCTAGGACAAGACATAATGGCCATCGTGGCTGCAAGCCGATCTTGGAAGGAGACCCGGGACGTAATGATGAGGAAGTACCTGGCGGCTTAGAAGATGGCAACAGAGGCCGAATTAGTGGCAGTACAAAGGAAGAACTTCGCAACGTACAATGACTTCCTGAGAGAGTTTACCCTGGTAGCGCTAAGGATCCCCGGGGTAATGGACCGGATAATGAGCAAGTATTTCCTCAGGCAGTTCTCCGAGTTCGATAAAGACAAGATTCTGCCGGCTTACCAACAGACGAGTAAATTTGTGAACACCAGGGATGTTGATTTCAGTACGGTAACGGACCTGGCCGAGAAAACGGTAGTGACCGAAACGCTAGCCTTGCTTAAGGAAGGGGAGATCATAGATCTGACCGGCAAGACGGGCGACAAGGTAAAGAAGGGGATCGAGAGTCTACGTGAACGCGTGCACTGAGTCGACAATAAGATAGAAAGGGTGGAGAATGCGCTGATAGCTATGCAGGCACAAATATTCCGACCCTCCCTTCCTCCCCAAGAAGCCGTAGCCCCGATACGAGTGGCCAACCGAGGGTTTAGTTGGAGAGATCCCGCTAATGAGCATTGCAGATATTGCACCGCGGTCGGACATTTTGTGCGAGTTTGCCCAAAGCTCAACCACGATATTATAAAAAATAGATGTACCAGGTCATTAAAAGGGGAGATATTCGGACCTCGGGGACAACGAGTGAACGAAAACTCGCCAGGAGGGATGCGGCGCGCCATTATCATCCTCAATGGGTTTGAGATAGCCGTGGTAGAAGCCGAACCGGTGGCCGATATCGTTTGGGACCAACTCCGAGGGCGTGGGGCACAGGTCAACTTCATCTTAGAAAGCGACGGACACGATAAGGTGAACGCGACTACTCGACTAGGGACGGTCGGAAGAAGAATTATTTGTTACACTGTGATGGAGGAGGTTGTTGGGGGCTCCGCGACCCAAGCGGAGCCCGAGATCGGGGAACCAGAGAAAGTTTACGGGAAGCCTAGGGAAGAGGAGCCTACGGACAAGGTCAGCGCTGCCAAGAAAAAGTTTACGTATCAAATCCTGATCCTAACCATACCAGAGATCGACGACACCCTTAGCAAATTTCTAGGAACCATGGTGTCAGTATCCTTTCAGACCATGTTGCAAGCGAGCCCCAGACTGCTCAAAGGGCTTAGACAACTACTGACTCGCCGGCAAGTGGAGATAGATGAAAATCCGGAATCGCAGGAAGAGGAAAAGGAGGAGGAAGCCCCGCAAGAAGTCGCTAATCTTCAAAGGAGTCCTGAAGATTTGAAGGATCTTGAAAAGGCTTTTGCGGATATCTGCTTGAGCTTGCCAGACCGTGAAGGCGGGGAAGTCATGAGGGTTCCACCCGAGACGAAGCTTAGTTTCCATGCCCCCCCCGTAGGGAAGTTAAAGGTGCAGATCGGGACACATCACACAGACGCCCTAGTAGACGGAGGTGCGGAAATCACACTCATAAGGAGAGATTTCGCAACAATTACCGGTTGTGTGGTTAACAAGGAAGTGATAGGGAGCATCCGAGGGGCCAGTGGCGAGATCCCGTTTTCAGGATACGTCACCAAATGTGCGGTCAAGGCATGCATCCAGGAGTCGATTTCGTCATGTTGCCTCTGCGACCCGCGGTTGAATACTGATTATCTTTCCATTTAGACAATATCCCTTTTGCACTTCCCCTTCAAATTTGGCCAGCGTCGTCGAGTCCACCCCTACTTTGTGATACCTGATAGCTTTGATAAGCTGTAATAAATCGGGGATCTCGAGTGCGACTTCCGGTACCTCTATCCATACCTCTTTCCGCTTGGGCAGGCTGGCCCCAAGTTCAACTTCTGATTCCCTTTCCGCCACCATGACATATAAAATTTCGTCCTCCTGCCTTCTCTTCTTCTGAGGCAGGCCCATCTTGATTCATTCTTTCTTGTTGAATGCTTCCTCAATCAGAATTTCTACCCTTTCTCTCATACCCTCCATTCGTGCAAAAGCCCCTTTCGAGCGCTATCTTCGAATGACGACGACCATGTTGCCAATTTTCCTTTAGGCGGGCCTCCTCCGGTCCCGATGAGTTGGAGGAGCTCCCCACGGCCAGTTACTGGGTCCTCTAAGTCTACCATGTATGTGCCATCATGCAGATGCATCCCTATCATTTCTACATTGGCGCACTATGGTCTCCCGAGGATTAGGTCGTGGTCCATCTCGTCTAATACGATCATTTCCAGCCGTTCATTGTTTAGGAGAACGATCCCGGAAGGAATTGTTTGAAAGCACAAGCCAGTAGGGAAGAAAGCTAAGCCGGTCTCGATCCTGCTAGAGATATCTAAGGAAGAGGCCATGAAAARGGAGGAAGAGGTTCTTCGAGTAATCCGAGAAAGGTGAGCGACAGAAGGACATCGGATACCGGATGAGGTGGCTGACACAATGAAGATAGGAATAGAGGGATTCTTAACAGAAGAAAAAACCATCCTGATCAAAATGACGTGTCAGGAGTTTCATCTGGCATTCGCCTTTAGTGATCATCAAAAGGGGCGGTTAGACGCGAAGCTAATCCCTCCGGTCAGGATCCACACAGTAGAGCATGAGTGCTGGAATGACAAAGGACCATCCCATGAGTTCGGGATAGCAGGAGAAGTGACGGACCTTCTCCGAGCAAAAATGAATTCCTTCATCGCAGAGCCTACCTCGTCCCCATACGCAAATAGGTGGTTCGTCTTTCGAAAGCCCAATAAGACGCTGAGGTGGATACAAGACCTGCAAAAGTTGAATGCAGCGACCATCCGGGATGCCGGTTCGCTACTGCAGGCCGACTTATTAGCGGAGTCCCACGCCGGTCGGAGCATTTACTCCCTGGTAGACTTGTATTCAGGGTACGACCAGCTCCCATTGGACGCTCGGGACAGACCATACACCGCAATGCACACCCTCGTAGGATAGTTGCAGATGCAGGTAACCCCTATGGGCTTTACGAACGCAGTAGCTGAAGCGCAAAGGAGGATGCTCGCCGTAGCCGGGGACATGTTTGCAGAGAAGTGTGAACCCTACATCGACGACAACCGGATCAAAGGCGCCCAGGAGAAGGACGAGACGGAAGTCCAGCCAGGGATTCAAAAATTTGTATGGGATCATCTACAGGACATCAAGGACTTACTCCGCCGATTTCTAGTATACAACATCACGGCTAGCAAACCGAAGAGTATTCTGGCAGTACCGGAAGTAACCATACTGGGGTTTCGCTGTGGCACATATAGAAGAATGCCGGACCCGGCAAAAACTGACAAGATATTGCAGTGGCCAACGCCGCTCTGCACGACGACGAAGGTAAGAGCGTTTTTAGGCGTGGTCGGCTTTTGGAGGATTTTTATTCAAAATTTTGCCAGGATTACTAAGCCTATCCACGCCATGATCAGAGAGGAAGGAACCATGGATTGGACGGAGGAGCGAGAGGGAGACGTCCAAACCCTGAAGGACATATTGACATCGGAGCAAGTCACTTTGGCAGCCCCCTTTTCTAACGACGAAGGTTGGACGGTCGTTTATTCTAGAGACGGAAGGAGGACCCTTGGTCGTAGGGGGCGTTCTGATTCAGAAGGATGAGGGAGGGAAGGAAATACCAATTAGGTTCGAAAGTGGAACCCTGAACTTGGCAGAACGACGATACTCATAGTTCAAGAAGGAGGTCTTAGCCGTCCTGCATTGCCTCAAGACCTTCCAAGCCTACCTCTTCAAGAGGCGTTTTATCCTAAGAATTGATCCGACCAATGTCGCGGGGGCTTTAAAGAATTACAAGCCTATAGACCCGACGGTTGGGAGATGGGTAGGATTCATCTAGCAGTTCGATTACAAGATCGAACGAATTGCTGGACTCAGAAACAAGGTCGATAGGCTAAGTTGGATCTGCATCATGGAGGATGCAAAATCCATCGACGCGTTCCTTGAATACGAAGGAGGAACCCTTGCGGTCGATAACGAAATGACGAGGGAAGGATGCGCGTCGGGAGAATTGTTGATTCAAACTTTGGAGAAAGGGGCACCTGCCGTAGTGGCGGAACTTAGGGAAGGGTCAGTCACCACTCGAGGACGCAAAGAGGATAAGGATTCGTGGAGAGCGATAGTAGGTCCGCAGGAGGAATTGATAGCAATGACCGTTGAGGGAGGCCGGGATGCTGTGATGAGTTTAGTGAAGTCTTGGGAACGAAAAAAGTTGCAGCTAGTGGTAAACCAGATGCAGGAGAAACAGGATAAGGATCAAGAAGGAAAGGAGTTTTTCTATGTTGAGATGTACGAAGGGATCTTTCGAGAAATCAGATTGTTGCTGGTAGGAAACAGGCAACCCATGGAGGTCAGCCTTAAAGCAAGGGAGGAGGCCGAAAGGTACGTCCTAAGGAGTGATCATCTGTTAAGGGAGGAAGGCGTTATGCCTAGAAGAGTCGTATGCGGAAGGTCTAGGCAGTTGGACGTGATCCAGGCGATGCACGACGGACTAGCAGGGGGACATTGATCGTCCAAAGAGACTCTTGCAAAGATAACACCTCTCTATTATTGGCCAGGCATGGCAGGTATGATCGCCATGTATTGTCAGACCTGTCTGATCTGCCAAGAACGGAGCTCGGCCCGCATCTTCGAGCCACTTACACCAACACGGGTGTTGGGGCCGAGACATCTGGTCCATCTTGATCTTGCGGTTATGCCTGTATCAATGGATGGATACAGGTATATCCTGGACGCGCGGGACAACTTGAGTGGGTTCGTCGAGGCAGTCGCCCTCAAGAAAAAGACGGGGAAAGGTGTAGCCAATTGGATAGAAGATTTCTACCTAAGGCATCCCTTCATCTGGAGGTTTATAGCAAATAACGGAACGGAGTTTGTAAACCAAGAAGTGTTGGGAGTGCTTAAAAGACTCTGTGTACCTATCAAACTCATCGAGCCCTATCACCCGGAGACCAATGCTCCTGTGGAAAGGGGGCACCAGACCTTAAAGAACATGATTGTGAAGCTCGCGGCGGACGATCTGGGGAGTTGGCCTAGATATCTTAAGCAGGTTGTCTTTTCGAAGAACATGACACCTAAGAGGACAATGGGATGTATCCCATCGGAGCTCTGGTATGGAAGAGAGATCGATTTTCCCGTGGAGGCCTTGATACCTACCTGGAACAAGTTAGATGACGATCCGCACATGACCACCGGAGAGCTAATTGAGGCGCGATGTGAACAAGTCCTTAGAAACGAGGAGGGCATGGAGGACATTGCCAACTGGGTACCAGACAGCAGGATGAGGGACAAAGCAAGATGGGACCAGGTTAAAAATATATGAAAGGAGCCACTTTAGGTGGGGGAGACACTATTGGTAAGAAACTCGACACTAGAAAGTACCTGGTCTGGGCAACTGGGGAGGAGGTTCAAAGGCCCCTACCGGGTCGCTAAGCGGGTGAGACTGAACACCTTCGAACTGGAAGATTTGGATGAAACTGGATTGGAAGGACCCTTCCCAGGGCAACCATTGGTCAGGTTTCTAAGTCGGGACCCAGTGGAACAGTGGCTTCAGGAGGTCGAGGATAAAGAAACTGAGGAGTCTACAAACTAAGAACTGGCGGCAGCCTTGCCCACACTATGTTTTGTCTCTGACTATGTTTGTGGGACTTTCCTTTTTGTTTGGAGGGGGCAATGGCTTGGGCTGATTGAAAACCGGAGGCGGGATGCCTTGTGACTTTTGTGCCAATGGGTTTTGTGTGGCGATAGGAAAGGTTACCCGGGAGCATTGTACCATAGTTTTTTAGGGAAAAATAATGGGATCATTACAAATGCGACATCTGTATGGAGGGGCAATGTATAATAATGGCTTTGTACGAGCCTACGAGGGATACTGGGAGCACTCTGAGGGAAAAGGTATCTCCTACCAAACTGGGGGGGGACGTGTGTATGAGGGGCTCGAGGGGGGTGTTGTTTTGTTATTCAGGATCAGGAAAAAACCTTAAAAAAACGAAAATGTAATTCGGCAACAAAAATGACAGCAGTGCGATCAATAGGCCCAGCGAAGGGGAAGGAGCGAGGCCAAGCAGGGAGTGGAAGACCGTAAAGAGAAAATTGTATATAGGGTACCTGTTCAAACAAGTAGTGGGCAGGGGGGCAAGAAAACAGGTGTGTAGAGGGCCTTCGCCTCTCAAGAAGGGAGAAGGGATATATATCTCATCAGGGAGTGAGAGCGAGGAAGAGAGAGCATGTATGGGAGAAACGGGCAGATAGGAAGGAGAGAGGGCTCGGACCTCTGCCGAAAAGAAGGTCGAGGAGTGCAAACAGCATGAGCCTTGGTGCGGGGAGAACGAAGAAAAACAGGACAAGAATGACATGTGTGAAAAAGGGGAAGAAGGAAGGGAGAGTCTGCATGAAGAGCGGAGCGGCCACGACAGTTGTGAGGGGAGGTACACGAACTTTGGGAAAGGATATGAAAGGAAGGCAGACATCACTCATAACCTAGACCAGAAGAACTTCACGGGTGAGTTCAGCCCCGAACGACCGGAAGAGGATGAGGACGAGGAGGAAGAAGTACAAGAGGTCATCGAGATTAGTAGTGACGATGAGGGGGATGAGATGGCCCAGAGAAGAAAGGCGACCCCCCTACGAACCGGCCACGCGAAGGATCCTTCAGATGGGAAGATGCGTTTGGGCCGACGCCCAACCATTGGTTTGAGCAATGGATTAGCGTAATCAAGCACGACTGGATTATCAAGGTCAGAGAGTTCATGGAGGCAGGAGTGGCAGCCACGCCTTTGGACTTCTACAGTGAAATGGAGTTGCGAGAAATTGCGAAGAGAAAGAGGGAAATCCTGGCCTCCAGCTTGGGAGTTAAAACGTCAGCAGAAAGACAGGATGAGCAAGGAACCAAGCGAGATGGGACACATGACAGTAAAGGGGACTAGATGTTATGAGCATTGAACAAAAATTATGCTTTTCTTTTGCAGTATTGAAGTGACAAAGTTTGGATAGTATGAGTGAGCGTGCTAGGAATGAGCGATACAAGGACTAGCTAGAACTGTGTCACGATGAGTTAGAAGATAACATTTGAAGCCACTTCCTAGATGAGCTACCTTCGAAAGAATATGTACAAAACAATGACACGGGGTATGAGGGTGAGACTGGTTGGGATGGTTGTATTGTGAGCCTTTTTGGAAGGAACAAAGATTGCGCCTTTAAGAAAAGACCATGAGTTCAGATTGACAAATAAAGCAAGGCATTAAGTATGGGTCGAGTACAAGATAGGTTAGGGAACCTATGGGTAAAGAGGCGTGAAGAACACCCCTTCCCTAGGAGCCTAATCCAACTAAGTCTTGAATGAGCCTGAAAACAGCAAGAAGCGGAGAGGTCAGAAAGAGTGAAATAGAGGGGATGCCCCTGTCCTTCGCTGTGGTTGAACAGCCTGGTGGGCTAGTGCTGCTTGAGGTTGCAGGCCTCAACTCGAGCACTAGACGCTAAGTCGGATGTATGCATGAATAGTAAATTGTATTGAAAAAGGATGAAGAGAACCGCACGAGTAAAACTGTAAAAGATGGCCACCTTCTAACCCCTGAGACAAAGATGGGATCCGTGTCCTCGAGGCTCACCCCCTCGGGCGCTAACATTGGAATGGATAAGGATGACCCTAACAAGGTCGTCCCACTGGAATGGATAAGAACGACCCTGACAAGGTCGTTCGATTGAGATGGAAAAGAATGACCCTGATAAGGTTGTTCGATTGGAAATGGAAAAAAATGGCCCTTGATAAGGGTCATTTTGAGAATTGTTACTAGGGTCCCCTTGCATGGCTGAGTGAGATGGATTGAGCATGAGAAATCTACAATTTGCATTGCAGTATTGCTTGAGGATTGGAGATTGCGTTGCATATCAGGGGACCCTGGGCGGATTGGAAAAGACATGGAAATAACATTGGAAGGATTTTGCTTTTTCATCTAATCTCAGGCCTCAGCAGGAGGGGGATACCGGTGCATGCACCGCGACCCCAACCTCTGACTTTCTTAAAGGGGATGTCTCAGCGCGATCCGTTCCTCATAAAGAAGGATAAGGGTTGAAGGACCAAGGCATCTTTCTCTTTGACTGATGCTCGTCGTCCAGAATTAACTCCGACAAGGAGCTTTAGTCGGGAAGTTGAAACTGCGCCTCATGTTGAGAACCTAAACGTCAAGGGCGTGAAGCCAAACGGGTTTGGTACCATTCTTTTGCTAGTCTCATTTTCTCTCCCCAACCACACGCCATGCCGCAGAGGGGCGGCGTGGCCGCTTGGGATGGACCAAGGCTGCTCACGTTAAGTTGAGCAGCATTGTCCAAAGGGAGGGGTCAGGCGAGGTACCGGTTGGAGTCCGCACCCACCACAGGGCAAGTGACACCGCCCTGTCGGATCATTACAACCGTTCTGGGATCAACCGCGAGGTCTTCGTAACTGCACTCGCAGACTAATAGAGAGCCCCAACTTTCTTGAAAGGAAGAGGCCGGATCCAAGAAATTACCACTCGGGAGAAACGGTTCGCGAGAGATGCCTTTATGACAAGACGGGGTTCTGGGAGGTTTGGATTGGACCTATCTGCTGGATGTGAGGTGGTACCTCAGTAATGATGCCCGTCTCGTATTGGCAAAAGGTCGGACTAAGTAGAAGGATGAGGTGTTACCTGCCGAGGAAGGACCGATCACCCTTCCTTCTAGGAGGAGGTGGGCCGTTGTTCTTGACTCAGTTGGTGGGTCAAGGTTCCGTACCTCCGAGTGAGAACCAGTAGTGTGATGGGGACATCGCATTTTGAGGGGGGGGGAAGGCGTGCCATCTACCGATGAAAAAGCGTGCAATAAAAAGAACTGAGGTGAACAGGATAAGGTTACCATGAGTCCGAGAGAAATCACATAATTGACTTTGCATGGGTTTGAGAAAGGTCTGGCAAGATGTCTAGAAGAGAAAGGTGTGAAAATTTGACTTTGCATGGGTTTGAGAAAGGTGTAGCAAAATGTCCAGAAGAGAAAGGCATGGAAAATTGACTTTGCATGGACTTGAGAAAGACCTGGCAAGATGTCCAGAAGAGAAAGGCATGGAAAATTGACTTTGCGTGGGCTTGAGAAAAGCCTGGCAAGATGTCAAGAAGAGAAAGGCATGGA